TCTGATCAATATTTTCTCAATTCTTGGGGAAGAAGAGCAGCCAGGCACAGCAACTACAGATGAGATCAGCATCTCTGCCCTTTCCTCCCAGCCCATAGGCATGGACAGAAATATCTGGAAAAGGAACCAGCATTGAAACTGTTTCTCACTAGTCCTTTCCTGCAACACCAGGACTGGGAAGTCTAGAGCTCACTAGTGCTCAGATCTTCATGACTTGTCTCAGGACTCATAAAGAACCTCTGCAACTGTGCAATATGCAGCGATGTGCTGAACAGTTCTTGGAAGAGTAGAATTAGGCGTCTAAGACAGGGATCTTCAAGAAGTGATACAGTAAGTGGGATGTTGCTTACCAGTAGAAAATGCTGAGAAGAGGAGCAGCAACCAAGCCCTGGTCCTTGAGAGGAGCTATATCCCTAGCTCAGTAATGGTGGTAAGGCAATTGTGTCTGCTCCAGACTTCGCAGATACTGGAGTGAGTCCAGAAAAGGGGCATGAAGATGAATAAGGGATTGAAGCATCTGTTGTACAAGGAGAGGCTGAGAGAGCTGGGACTGCTCAGCCTGGAGAAGGGAAGGGTTATGGGTAATCTTATCAATAAGTATAAACACCTGAAGGAAGACTGTAAAGAAGATTGAGCCAGGCTCTTCGCAGTGATACCCAGAAAAAGGGTAAGAGGGAACAGGAACAAATTAAGAAATGTTAGATTTCATCTAACCACAACAAAAATTGTTTACGGTGAGGGTGGTCACACTGGAACATGTTGCCCAGGGAGGTTGTAGAGATATTCAAAACCTGACTGGACACAGTCCTGAGAAACTTGCTGTAGCTGACCCTTCTTTGGGGAGCTAGTGCTTGGACTAGATGATCTCCAGAGGTCCCTTTCAACCCCAACAGTTCTATAGTTCTGTAATCAGCCAAAGACACACAATAATCCCAACTCTTTTAGGCAACAATGAAATCTCCTTTCTGACAGTTTAATTTAGCCTAAGTAATAAAATGGTCATTAGGTGACAGAGAAATTGAAAAAAGAGTGACTATAGCCAGAGGGTCAGGGTAAATCAGGTTGAAATTTCTTGCTTCACATAATATTTCATAATGATATGAAGTATAATGGGTTTTGAGAAAAGCACTGAGAAAAAAAAAAAGCTTTTCTCAGAACACCAACTGCCTGGTGATAAGGAAATTTTCTGCGATATTAGAAGAGACAATTAAGTTCAGGCCCAGGTGCCCCACATGCCAGCTGACTGCCTCGGTACTGGGAATATTAGGTACCAGTCATCACCCAGGAATTTAATGATTTTGGGAGGGAAACGAGAGTGGAGTTTAGACCAGAACCTGTGGGTTTGAGACTTGTGAGGATCTGTAAGGTGTCAGAACATGATTCACAAAAAACCTGAAACCAGTAAAATTAAAAAAACCTCACATGTACATACACATACATTTTCTCACCCATGCAAGCACGTGAGCAAAAACAATGTAGAAAATCACAGGGAATACCTGAACAATCAGCTTATCCTGAGCCTAACTTTGTGTCTAAATTGATTGTAAATGAAACCTGTGGAAAACATTGCTCAGAAGACCTGTGGATTCTGCCTAGGACAAAAAAAAAAAAAAAAAAAAAAAAAAAAAAAAAAAAAAAAAGAAAAAAACCTCCTTGGCGAAAAAAAAAAAG